TATTTTAATTCACATTTTCCGGTGGAAAACCGGGTATGACTTTCATATTAGTTACAAACTTTGCATCGGGATGATCGCCTTTTGGTAGCTTCATAATTAGAAGAATGTTTGATCCTTTATCTTTGAAAAATCGGTCTATCGAAGGCATCATTTTATTCCGGAGGGACGAAATTTTACCATATGTTGGAATAAACTAACAGGTGAATAAATAGGAGAATTTTGTCCTAAGAATTTTATTATTCCTCCTAGTAAAAGATCACATGGTGTTTCACTGAAATACGTTAACAACACTGATGAAATCACTCGTAAATCACTTGAATGAAACATTTTACCAATAAATCCAAGATACGAAAATTCCAAACATATCCAGTGGTTTATACGATTCAAAACAAAACTTTCGATATCTTTAACGAAATTAGAGGCGATCAGAACGTCGTCTTCTAATTGTATATAATATGTACTAAGATTCTGACAATAACAGCATTAAAAAGGCGAAATCAATATTTTGTTTTGATCTCCAATGGACCCTTTCTGCGGAATCCTGTTTTGTTTTCAGCAAATCTGAAAAGTCTGGGTAAATATGTGAAGTTGCTTTTATTATCTGCATGAAACCGCTATCAAAATGAGGCTTAAATTCATCATATATCTGTTTTGCACTTTCATTATTCCAAGATTCGTCAGGGTCTGCCATGAAAATCACAATAACAACATCCTGAATTCTACCTTCATCGGTGTTAGATATAAGAGAGTTTAGAGTTGTGTAAATGTAGTGGTCACCATTTAATCGTTTTTTTACAGTAGGTATCCCTATTGTTAGATAACCTGGAACAGACAAACATACAGTTTTTTTTATTACGAACTTGGAAAATGTACACACACAAAAATAATGTTTCAACGTTCATAAAAGCTCACAGTCGCTTGTCACTGCAAATAAGAATATTCTGGTCTTTCAATCTGGGAAAAGAGGAATATGGAAAGTACATATCATTAAACGGTTCACGTTTTAAACCATAGGCTGAATTGTTAACCATGAAATACTCTATGCGTGGTAACTGTTTAAAGAATGTACTAAGGATATTATCGTAGTTTACTTAACAAGCAAGCTAATTTTCTAACACTAAATGGGGCTTCGGTGGCCTAGTGGTCTAAGTAGTCGAACTACTGTATCACTAGCCAGTCAACACTGAGGTTGTGAGTTCGAATCCCGCACGGGGCAGGTGCACTCGACTCCAATCTTAATTGACTAGGATTGTCAGTTTTCCTACCGAAGGTCGGTGGTTCTCTCCGGGAACTCCGGCTTCCTCCACCAATAAAAACTGACCGCCACGAAATAGCACAAGAGTGTTGAAAGTGACGTAAACATCAATCAATCAATCAATCTAACATTAAACAATTAATCTTATTTTCCATGTTCTTGAATATCTAAAACAGAGCTTTTTGAGAGTATAAAGCGCCTACCTAATCAATCGTAAACTAGCCTTTTCTATAAAAAGGAACTTACTTTTTTATATGAATTCAGCCGTAATAAATATACAATGTGAAACTGTTTGAATTTTCCTTGGAGTTCAGTATTTTTGTTAATTTGCTTTTTACGAAATCATAGCTAATTTTTTTGTGTACTGCCTATCAAGGGCCCTTAATTGGAACAATAAATATTCTATTCTTAATTCATTTTATACATATATGACACATGCAAGAATGTGTATTGGGAAAATTACTGGTAAAAGGTGTCTTTTTCACATTATCAATACAACAAAATGTTTTCTGAAGTCTAACTTAATATATCTTTTAAACCGATAAGATTTGGTTTAAACAAACTTGAATGTAGAATACATGAACAAAGTTCCACAACTCTAAAACTACAGTAGCGCAAATCGTCAACAACATATTTAAAGACATTACACGCGAGAGAAAAAAAATACGTGGTTCTTGGTTTTTCGTTTTAAAGTTGCATTTCACAATCATTGAATTTTATGCCCGCGTAAGATAGTACATCATTGTGAGGTGATTTTTAAAAGTTATTGATATTATGATTTTGATTCCGTTTTCACGGTAAGCTGAAAATGGACATATATGATAGTGCGAATCGGTATGGTGTTCTATAGATATAAGAAGATGTGGTATGAGTGCCAATGAGACAACTCTCCATCCAAGTCAAAATTTATAGAAGTAAACCATTGTAGGTCAAAGTACGGTCTTCAACACGGAGCCCTGGCTCACACCGAATGGCAAGCTAACGGTGTAAAACCATTCAAACGGGAAACAATGGTATAATCTATATAAAAAACGAGAAACGAGAAACACTTATGAACCACATCAAAAAACGACAACTACAACTACATATGCAAACATATTCTTGTTTTTCATAATTTTTTCAGTTTTTTGTATATTTGGTAGTGTACTAAATCTAAGGTTGCAGCCTTCTACGGCAAAGCTGACTTAAAGCAGTTTAGATCGTACTTCAGCAAGCCCAATTGGTTTTGAAAATCACAAAAGTTTAAGTATTTTGATTCCTAAACTTTTAGTTTCGATTAATGCAGATGGTTGTTTGAGAACACGTGTTGTGCACACCGGAATCATCATACTATCAATCAGTTCTAAAGTTTGCTACATATGTGTTCACCATGTGTTCATTTTATTTTGGGAGGGTTGGGTTTTTTGTTGCTAAATTCCTCCTAAAAAGAATTTTTACCACAAAATGTTAAAATACAAATTTTACCAAACTTCTATGAAATACGTCCATTCATCAAAGAAGAGACCTTTGTGACCGAGTGTCAAAGAAGATTATCTACACCCAATTTTGAGTTTGAACCCCTATCGTGGCACGGTGCGCCCGACTCTTTATTAACCAGGATCGCAGTTTTCTTGCCGAAGACGAAGGGTCTGTGGCTTTCTCCTGATACTCCGGATTCCACCACAAGTGGACGTTATTATATTGTCAAGTTTCCCCTATTCTGTTCACTAAAGTAAGACAATGCAAAAATAGTTGCGCTTTATTGTGTCGTCATACCTAAAAAGCACGTCAATGAAATTCTATAAATAGAGCAAACATTGGAAGATAACAGCAAGAGCATGGACATTTGTAGAATATAAACGATAATAGAATAATATGTAAATGTACTACTGACTGTTATGAAAAGAGGGACTTTGATGAAACATTTTCATGCATAACCAAATGGTATAAATTAAAGTGAAACAGTGATACCTTTGTGAAGTGCCAAGTTATACAAATGTACTTAGCGTTTAATAGTCGATCCTCAATAAATATACTATATAGTGTAATGAGAGGACCAAAGATAAGATACAATGTTACAACAACTATTAGTGAAAGCGAAACAGACAACATCAAGGAGGTTTTCCAAGAACAAACCTTGTCTGTTAGTAAAATTACCATACTGAACAACGCTGTAATCAATGTATGAATGTGCGTTGTATAACCTCTCAAATTCCACGAGTGCCGAGGGCAGAGTTAAAATGTTTAGCTCTGTCCCTGATATGTTTTTCTTCATTAGTTGAAGATAAGTTCTGTTGAACCAACCTTGGTCCCTTGTAGATTTACCATACATGACAACATTCAGGTCAACTGCATTATGGTTGTTATAAAACTTCTGAAATTCTGTCAGTGGTGACGGTAATGATAAGTTTTTCATTTCTTTTCCCGCCAAGATGTTTCTAAACAGACTTATATTATTCGCCAACATTCCAGCCTGAAAAAAAAGAAAAAGGTGATTTTTATGTTATAAACCTGTCCAATGCCCACTTCTTACACCAGCAGGCAATGAAATGGAAATGAATTAAATCTGTAAAATACAGTTTGTGAGTGTTGAAGAAAAATACATGGTAAACACGCTTATCTTTACAGCTAAGTGCTGCCAGGCTTTTAAATTTAATACCAAACAGATTATTGTTTTCTGTTTGGTATTAAATTAATAATTAAGATCCATGTTACATCTCGTGATCAATTTATTTGGCAATCGTCAATGGCAGTCAGCAGGGTTTAAGAACATCAGTTGTTCGATTTGTTAGTCAAATGCTATTTGTTAAAATATACTTTTCACTTTTTTGGTCTTTTTGAAAATGTTGTTTGTGCTGTGTATATATATATATATATATACATAAGGTAAATCTCATCATTCTCAAAATTTTTGTCCATGTCAGATTTTCTCTACCGGTTTTCGCAATAACAGACAAATATCTTTCTTGGTGTTTTGAAGACCCATTGGCAGCCTTGGGCTGTTTTCTGCTCCATGGTCGGGTTGTTGTTTCCTTGACAAATTCCCCATTTCCATTATCAATTTTTAATATTTCATTTAACCCTTATGTTCGTTTTTATCATGTCGATCATGTTTTCATCAAGCAAGATAATCGATCAAATTATTTAAACTAAATACTCCATTGATGACTGAGTCCAACGTTGGTGAAATTTGGCCGAGTAATGTCAGAAGAGATGATCCTTGTAAAAGGTAACAGACGACAGACAACGTCGACGACAAACAACGACAGAAAAAGGACGACAAGTGTTGGCAAGAGCTTACACTTGCTTTTTGGACCAGCTAAACTAAAAAAGTCAAATTAACTATATATTGGATCTATAAAAAAAAAACATTTTAACATGAACAATTTACAACAACTCGAAAGGGGTCATCATAAAAAAAAAGATATTTGTTTCAAAATACAGTTTGCTAAATTTTATCTAAATTCACAAAAAATTACAACGTTATAAAGATCTTGGCAAACTACATCTAAAACTACTGATGTATAACATGACAATCGGTCTTTGTTGTTTGCCGTATTGTGATCGTTGAAATTTTAATATTCTAAATTCTAAATAAAATGGAAGTGTACAAGGTAAAATATTCTTGTTTTTTTTTTAAATAATATCAATCAATGAAGTTAAAACACGAAAGTCACAGTAAAAGCAATAGAAATTAGAGGGATAGGTTTGTATAAAAGCATATTGAAAACAAACCATGCACAAAAATCGTGTTTATCTAATAAGGAAATATCACATATTGAGGTCAGGAGGGCGAACAAAAGAAATATTTTTTGTCGAATGAAATTATGTTAACATATCGTTTTCCACAAGAAAGGGTATTTCTGTCCACTTCCTCTACTTGTTAACTGGCTTTAGCATAATGGGTAAATATTTTTCGAATATTTAATTGGCAGTAATATAATTGGTAAGTGACTTTTTATACTTCATCAGCTACCTCATTTCTTCATACTACAAATCTTGATGCAAAAGACAGAACCTGGTAAAATGACGATTTTTCTCATTAGTTTTTATTGGCTTTGAACTAGCTGTTAGTAACTGCGATTACTCTCAGCTCTGTACTTAGTGTCTTTTTGTTGTTGAGATGTACAAGAATTTCTATGCATCTACTGAGTTAAGCATATTTGAAATGATTTTGTTTAGTTCATTGTTATGTTGTACTGCAACACCACTGTCCCTTTTATATGTTTAACCCCGCCACATTATGTATGTTTGTGACTTTCCAAAGTCAGAAGACTGCAACATGTGTAATTTAGTGGTTGTCGTTTGTTTCTGTGTTACATATTTGTTTTTCGTTCATTTTTTTATACATTAACTTGGCCGATAGTTTTCTTGTTTGAAATGTTTTACATTTGTCATTTCGAGGCCTTTTATAGCTGACTATGCCGTATATGCTTTGTTCCTTGTTGAAGGCCACACATTGACCTATAGTTTTTAATTTCTACGTCATTTGGTCAATTGTGAAGAGTTGTCTCATTAGTAATCATGCCACATCTTCTTTTTTTTCATTTTTTTTATATAAGCAAGATTATAAAGAAGAAACATATTATTATCATACGGTAGAATAGCCCATTACCCCTATTTATATTACCGAAGCGATTATTTTTCTCTAAATGACAAATCTTGGTTTATCCGTCTTTGATAAAAAAAAAACTAAGATTGTTTAGATATATTACAATATTTTAACATACATTTCACAAAGGATACAAATATCATAGCACCTTCACAAACACAGAGTTTACATACGTGTCTGTTTGAATCGCGAACTCGTTGCCAATTGCAAGAATCCGATAGTAACTCGCTGGTAACCGGGAATATCTCGTCACACATCGCAACAACTCGCAAAAAGTCGTAAGGATCCGTGAAAAGACAAAAAAATGTTTTGACATGCGAAAAAGATTTTATGTTTTTCGGCAATAACTCGTAACACTCTGAAAGTTTAAACTGCTCGTAAACTGGCCTTGCAAAACACGTTCCCATCTGAAAACTGTTCACCAGAATCCGTTAATGGCTCGTCACAACCTTTTTAAACGACTTGTTGCGGTTATTTTATGTTTTGTTTACGGGTTATTTATGGATTATTACAAGCGCTTACGTGTTGCTTACGATTTTATGGCCGGGTATCAATGTGTATACTTGACGAGTGATTATGAGCATTTTAAGTGTATTATTTAATACTTAACGAATAGATACTATTCTTACGTAGTAATTTACGATTTTGGGAAATTAAAAAAGCTGCAAAATTGCAAAGAGTCGTATATAATCGTTACTTATTCGTAAACAGGCCCAGCACGAAAAAGCTTTGATGAATAGTAACAATCTGTGATATACTTGTAATAATCCGTAACATCCACGTAGTTGTCTGTGGCATCTCGTAACAAATTATGCAGTTTTACAGTAAACAAATCGTAATAACTCGAAATAATCTCGTAAATATACATTATAAACCGAAAATAGCTCGTTATTACTCAAAACAATTCTTAAATAGGTCATTCAAGTAACCATAACGTGAATTTAGGTGATTGGTAAGAACTCCGTGTATGTGAAGGGACCAGAAAATAGATGATGTCGGATAATAGATTCTTTCTTACAGTTAAATCGTGTTGTTGTTGTTAAAATAAGATAAACATGCAGGAATTATAAATCCAAACAACAGTATACAGTTTGTTTGTAGCTATTTGAACCACAAACATACAAGAGTTTTTCTGCGTGCCATGTGAAAAAAAAATATGGAGGTTAAAAAAAATGTACCTAACCTTAACCAAACCAACAACTGTATACTGTTCGAATAAATCTATCCAAGTATACAAAATTTTATTGTTTAACCTGTGAACAATTTACCTTAATATGCTAGTTAAAGTCCCAATACTATAAAAAGACATACCAGAAAATATTCAAAATTGAAAGAGAATTTTTTTCAATCAGTGAAAACAAAAGCCTTAAATTTTGTTTAAAAAAATGCTAAGCATACTCTAGTTTATACAATACGTGGAAAACTGCCTTTTATTCGACGATAAAAGTCCCATAACACTGGAACGGAAAAAATGATAATCGAGCTTTCTTTTACCAATCAAAACAATTGCATACAGATTTGAATAAATTATCAAACTAGAATTAGAATGTGAAATGAGACTAGCACCCCTCCCTAGTTATCATTCAAACTGTTCAAATACGGTATATCATAAAAAGTCTCGTTTACGACGGACTTATAGATAGCCAACTTTTACAGTTGACATGTGATTTTATACCATATCATCTTTTAAAGGTCATTTGAACATACCTACATCAACTAGATATACTTTTTTTGTCAATTACGCAAACAATGTCCACTCAATCTCTATAGTAGATATGTCTTATTTGAGTCATTATCTTCGATCTTTGAAACGAACAATGAGTAAAACATACGTATTGGACAAAACTCTAGTAAACAAGTCAACACTATTAATTTCGTTTATGTATCGTATTTGTATATCTTGTTAGTTGATTATTTATCCAGTTTATAGAGTTTATATATTTAAAATAGGTTGAGATATGACCGAAAAATTAAGACACTCATAGATTATCGATGTTAATATTTCATAAATTGATAAACAAGACAAACCAATTGCAAGCCCCACTCCAATTTGAGCGAGACTGGGTCTATCAAGAGCATTAGCGTTTCCTGATATGCATGTATCAAATTGTAAATGGCTAGCATGCGAAGGAAATAACTTCAATAAGGAGCAGGTTATACAGGCATTTTTGTAGACTTTTGAATTCTATAAGGTTTAGCTGGGACTACAGTAAAGGTTGTTGTTTATCGATTCTTAATGTTTTTATCAGTTTGTGAGTTGATATTGATAGCAGATTTAGAAAGTCTTCTTTCAGTTATTTATGCGTTTCTTATTTTTCTGGAATGGTATATGCTATAGATCGTGTCAGATGTTGGAATTTTTTTTGCTGGGTTTGTGTCAGTTTGACTTATAACCCCATACTTTCTTTTATTTTTTTATTCATACAGGACTTCATGATAATGATGAAATGGTCACACAATATAAAGTTGTAAAGCATTTAGAACCCAAAATTCCAAACGTTGTGCCAAATACGGCTAAGGTAGTCTTTGCCTGGGATAAGAAAATCCTTAGTATTTCAAATAATTTCTACTTTTGCAAACAGTTAATTTTTAAAAATTACCATATAATTGATATTCATGTCAACACCGAAGTGCTGACTAAGGGGCTGGTGATACCCTCTGGGACGAAACGTCCACCAGCAGTTGCATCGACCCAGTGGTGGAAATTGTTATCAAACTTGAAAGGTACCAGGCTTATAAGGAGTCGGAGGAGGTCAACATGAGATAGACGAATCCATGCGTGTTATCTGGTTGATTTATTGAAGAATAAATAATCACTTTTATCTTACAGGTATATATGTTAGCGGCAATAAGTGAAATTAGGCATAAGCTTAAATCCTAGGCAATAGGCTAACGCCTAGGCAGTAAGTCTATTGTCTAAATGATGTTAGGCGTAAGTCTTAAATCCTAGGATTTAAGCTTAAATCCGGAAAAATGTAAGCAGGCATTAAGCTTAATGCCTAAAATATAATTGCGAGTAAATAAAAGACAGTTAGTCATTTAAATAAAAATACATGTATTGCATAATAACATTATCAGAACTGAAGTTTAAAATGTTATCTACTGGAAATAAAACCACTAATAAAATAAATTATTCATGCATATTAAAAATCATCAAATTATACTTTAAAAATATGAAACTTGATAGAAATTTGTGTTAAAATCATTTGTTATCACATGTTGTGGAACTGTGGCATCGAATTTTGCACTGTCTCTTATTTGTTTTTGCAGTTGCATTGGTTACTTAAACATTTTGACTTACATGCACATTTGAAAAATCCTTGACCTCCGGATAATGACTGGTATTGGTACGGCCACTGTTTTACCAACTTCTGGTGTCCCTAGTTATTTTTTGCTTCTGACTATCATATGCATAATGTTTGCCTGCTTCCATAGCTCCAGAACGATGGCGAACTCTGTTGGTATCAATCGTACAATTTGGACATTACACTTTCGAACCGTACCCTCTTCACTAACAGTAGTTCCACATATAATTAGATTAAAAGCAACCTCTGAGGCACATTTTTACGCAATAGCTTTAATGTTTCAAAGTTGTGTAAGGTGATCTTGGAACACCATAAGAAATGAATAGTTTCAATCTGGGTTTGATTGAAAATCCATCAAATTAACTTGTCCTCTACTGTTAAAGTCTTCAGATAAAATGGGCTTCACGACTTCTCCTTTCCCTAAAATTTTCTCAAAGTGAAAGAAAAAAACAGTTCAATAGCATCACAGGAAATATTAGCATATCCATTATTCAGTTGCTTAATCATGCGGTCTCTGCCGCCATGCCCTGTTTCTTTATGTGCCTTTTCAAAATGCAATAGAGTTCCTTTAGGAAGACATAAATTCTAAAATTTCTCTCATCATTCTCGTTTGACTTTAGTTATCAACATCTCAATACCTCCAATGGTAATAATGTCATACCTTTTTTAATTGCAGTAATCTTCTGTTATCTTCTGATTTAATCTTTGCCAAAAGATCATGGTACTTTTCTATAGGGTATATGTTCCTTGTTTTCCTTGATTCGAATTTAGACCGCAAAGATTAATGACGTTTGTCCTCAATAGACATTTTGTCACTTAATGCTAACACAAGACAAGATGGCCTCGGGGTATTTAACAAAATTTTTAACAAAGAAAATAAACTTATCCAATAAAAAAATTGGAAAAATTGTGAGAGCAAAAAAACATATCTTAATTTTGTCAACTTTTGACCAGTTCAAACCAGCTCGACTTGTGAAGTGTAAAAATTTTTAATTAATTATTATAATTATTATACAGAATCTAACCCCCTTTTGGTATTGGATACAATCAGGTTTTTTTAAATCTTTTTTTTTTATTTTTTGTAATACCACACAACAGTATGAGTTAATTCTGTTTTGAATATGAAAAACACTAAAATTTGAAGATCTGTCTAATGAATGTATATTAACATTAGGAATATAATTAAGAAACTATTTAATATCAAGAACAAATCACCGAATATACATCATGTACATAAATTCTAGAGTTCACTTGTTGCCTAAAATTATGTTAGGCAATAGGTTGAATAATCGTCATCAGATTTCAGGAAATAAGCTTAATGCCTGAAAACTTCAGGCAATAACTTAGTGCCTAGGCATTAGCTCATTGCCTAGGATTTAATTTTAATGCCTAATTTCACTTATTGCCGCGAACATATACATATGGTCAGTTGATTGAATATGTACCATTACAATTTTCAAGTGATTTTTTCGTTTGGAGTTTAAACTAATGTAAGTGTTTGAATCTGGTAAATGTATGTTACAAAGACTGCATATGAGAGTTATTCCCCTTATGTATTTAAAATAAGTGATATGTATTTGTAACTGGTAAACCGTAAGTAATAGATGCCTATGGTGTTTAGATTTGAGGTACTTGGTCCACTATAAGAAAAACGAGGCCAAGTTCTTGTTCTAAATTTTGATTTTGGCTTGTTTTTACTTATTTTCAGAAGCCATATAAGTTATCGAAAAATATTTTTACTAAATTGCTATATGCGACATATTGTAACACACATTTTGATTGTACTGGTACGTTTATATATGATGGGAGTATTTCCCCCCTCTCATATTTAAAACTAGCTGTATGGTGATTTAACCAAATAACTATATATAATAGAGACTCAGGGTCTTTTGATATGAGGTCCTTATTGTATGACCTTGGAATTTCAGTTAAGGTCAAAGGTAAACTTGACGTTCTAGATTTTGACCTATGCCAAAAACTTTATATCTATATAAGATACAGCCAATTGACTTTTTGAATTAGGTTGCAAGCCATACTACCTTAAAAGCAAACTAGATGGGACCTTGTGTAAACCGGAAGTAACTATTTTTATGCTTATTTAACATAAAAGTATATAGAACCATATATTTTTTGAATCACGAAACTATCATATAATACCAGAAGTGACATTTTTCATACAGGAAGTAACACATTATATCCATATTTCAAACAAAAGTGTATAAAAACCATATATTTTTGTAATCAGTTTATAGTTATCTATCATCTGATACTGTAAATAACATGTTTAGCATTGTTATTTTCATATTAAAATACATTTGTTTTGTGAAAAGACCTTCAATCCTCTAAACAATTGGTTTTTAATTGTTAAAGATGTTTTTCTTCTGCATTTACCATATATCATGCTAATGTGTCCTGGAATACAGTCCTTTAGATCAGTTGGATATTTATCATAACGCATCTTCTGGAACTTGTAATAAGTAGGAAAAGTACCAAACAGACTTGCGACCAATTTCCAGAAAATGAAAATAGAAGTATATTCAAAGATAAACAAAATTTCTAGGGCACGTTGAACAGGTTCATTCAGTAGTCATAGGCCAAAGTTGACAGTATAGATATGTTTAGGCAATTGGTGATGTTTGGACGTATTTAGTTAAAACCACCAAGGTATGTTCCTGTATCAGAAATATCATGGAGAAGCTCTGCGGTCACGTGGTCTTAGTAGCTAATCTACAGTAAACACTAGCATGTCAACAGTGAGGTGCTGATATCAAACCCCATTTATGGTTTGTTTGTTCGACTCCGATACCAAAAGTTTTATTACCAAAAGTCGGTGGTTCCCTCCAGGAACTTTAACTCTACCAATACAAAATAACCACCATAAAGGTTTGCTGTCAGAACGAAAATTAAATCAGCAATAATTACTCAATCAATCAAAATGCACAGAGTGGCCATAATCCCCCCAAAAATGTATGAAAAATATCTTTATTGTGCTTTAAAAATATGTTTTTCTGTCAACCACAATCACATTTTGACTTTGTAGATTAATTTAACCTGGTTATAATAATTTTAATTTTTGCAGCCCAATCTTCAAACTACGGTAAAATAAAACTGAATGAACATAGGCCCCAGTCATATTCATCAATCGAAGTCCAATCAGATGAACCTGATAAATCATTAACTTATCACAACGAAGATGACAATAAACAACCGTCACATACTTTACTGGAAAATCAACAGTTTACTGATACTGAATCTTCTACTGCCTGCAACAAAGTTACATCAATGGTAAATCCAGAAGTGGATACGACACGTCCATATACCACAGTTGAACATATAACTGTTGTAACAGATTTATCGCCAACATACTATAGCGATCCAGATCAAACTGTAAGATTTCTATCGCCAAAGTTAGTGAGTTGTATATAAGAGGGGGTTGACAGAGTCAGTAGGAGGGAAGTGCGAGTCATTAGATGGGAACCAGTTGAAGTGGGGGGTAATAAACAGGATATGGTGGAAAAGTTTTTTGACTGATTGTCGAATGAGAGTAGGGGGCGGAAAGTGAGAGCAGGAAAGGGAATCGGGAAACCCCAGTCTCCATCATGTAAAATAGACATAGATGAATATAAAGTAACGAATTTACTAAAGCCAATATTGTGTAGTATAAAATGTCATTTTAGGTTCTTACGACTTTCTTTTGTTCAATATAACGTTTTCATTTTTGTGTTTCCTGGTTAGTTTTAATATGTCTTCTATGATCGTTTTTAATATACTGGAATGTTATGTGACTGTCATACAAGAGAAAGGTTTAGCTAGCTATATAACCAGATTAAATCCATCATTTTCCACACAAGTAAATGACTGTAACAAGTCAGGAATATGACAGTTGTTAACCATTCGTTTGATGTGTTTGATCTTTTTATTTCACCATTTGATTGAATTTTCCTCGGAGGTCGTTATTTTTACTTTATATTTATATTGCATGTTTTGTCTCTTTAAATTTTTGGTGTTTTCCTGATGTGGTTTCAAAGAACTTCTCAAAAGAAGTGTAATTTGTAACGAGCAAGCAGGTGCTTGTTTTACACATCTGATGAAGTTACAAATCTTACGTTAATAATTTATAAGTTTGCTATATCATGATTAGCACCAGTGATTTATTAATCAATTTAATCAGTATAGAATTAAAAAGAAATTGTCCTAAATGATGATCGTTTGACAATATTCCCCTCAAAATATTCAACATATCTATGAACATTGTGATTTTTTGTATATTGTTTATCCATATTCATAGATAGCTGTAATTTCTTTCAACCAACTCATGTTGGAGTCCGTAAACGTACGAAAACATAACTTTTAGTTGTCAGTCTCATAAAATCTGCATTTTTTGTGTATTACAACCTTTGTTATTAAATGTACATGCAAAGAACCATGTAAAACTGCCTCCTTTATACTAGATAATTCTTTCACAAAAATCAAACTAAAGAACGATATATAGCCGGGTGGTCAGGAATAAAAAATTAAATAAAAATGCTGGACTTTTTCCTCAACAACTCTTTAGTTGAAATTGATAGATTTATATTTCAGTAGATATTTGAATGGGTACTTATTGTGTCATTCTACTGGCAGACTTGGTTTTGTACTCACATGAAAAAGATTTCATACTGATCTAGAACTTTAACAAAACCAAAACCTAAAAGTATCTTTTATTTCCCTTTTAGTTAAAGTGTCCTTTCACCCAAATACCCACATTGATGAGATGTCTCATATATGTTCGACTATACCAAAAAAAAGTGGGTAAATTCTTGGTAGTGTCACCTACCCTCTGCCTATCGCATAGTGATAACATATCTCAATAAAAACGCTACGACCTTATAAAAGAACCAGTAAGCAGATGAGGTATGATTGCCAATGAGATAACAATTTAACAATGTTATACAAAAAAGTGGATGTAAGCATTTAAAGGCAACCATACGGCCTTCAACAATGAGAAACAATCATACGGTGAAGTCAGATTTATAGGCTCCGACAAAAAAATGTGAAACGATTCAATGAAGAAAACAAACGTTCTCTCATCGTGCAGCAGCAGCAGCATCATCGTTTTAAATTAAGGATGTGCTATTCCGTATATAAGTTTTTTACAAGTACAGCCAAACTTTAAAACTTTTTGTATCTAATTGAAGAATTTGATAAAGGTTTCTTGTAGTGTGTGGCAACGAAATCCTTACTTGATAATTTACCAGTAATACATATACTACGCTCATTGAGATCCAAAAGGTCACTACAGACACCGGCATAACGAAGGAACACCGTAATATGATGCCACAGGAACATCACCATCAAAAAAGGAAAATTAACAATAGGAAAAGAAAAATCACCCCTTTGTGCGTAAATTTTTGTGTAGAGTTACTGGTGTAAAACTGAAATATGTCAATCTAGGAAAGGAGACTTATAGCTGTTAATATTTGATTTATTTAAAGTAAGGTGATGTGGGTAAATGTCGGCAGCATATTAAGACAATTTTTGATAATTTAACGAAAAAATATCATCAAGATAACGGCATGTTCACACTTTACGGAATCCACAATCAGAGGTGTGCTCTACACATAATTTAAACTTTTCAGTTACTACCATGAACTATTTGACTTATACGATATGTCTATGTTTGAACTATCTCGCGGCATATTTTCGCGCGTTTAGACTTTTCGATTACGTTTTTGATATTGATAGTCTGACTGAATGTGAACTCGCATGGCTGATGATGCATGCATATCAGTGGACGCTGAGTAAATTAACGTCTTTTGGAGGTAAGGTGTAAAACCATCAAATTATAGTACGTCACATCAGGTTGCGTACGAAAAAAAAATTCCTTTGATTTTGACAGTTGTAGGAAGTTTCATTGCAGTAAAAACAAAATTGTGTCATAATTATTTCTTGCGTTTTTCAAAGAAGCATTATCTTTTATTTTGTGCTTCTATAGAACATTTTGGAAACTTAGGGTTACATGGTTGCTAAAGCTTGCATGAATACAGAAAGAAAAAGGGTGAAAATTTGATTGGTTAACTTCCAATGATGGATATTTTCCTATATTCAATGACACATTATGTGATTTTTTTCTATAGTACTGGACAGTTTAAAACTTTACACGTGCGAAGTATTACTTTATTTGAAACTAAGCTAAATTCTGCACAATTTTTTGAAATGTGCAAATTTAACAAGGACTAATAGGGGAAAATCAATGGTGGTATTACACCTTCATGTGATTCCCTTAGTTTTTTTTATCCTTTATTTATCATGCTTACTTTGATTTTTATCATCTTCTACAGCATGTTTGTTGTCTGATGTATGATGAAGATCCACCAGACAATGCCAGTTATCTTTGTTTAGCCCTTTTTGCCATTTGCTGTTGTTGCTGGCCATGTGCTGGGGTTGCCGTCTGTAATGCAAGCCAAGTAAGTGTTGAATGATTAATGTATTATCATTTATATTAAAGAATCTAGGATGAAAAAAACAACTTTTAGCATATCTTTCTTCATATAGTGTTCTACCATTAGATTGTTTTATATTTAGTGGTCATTGAACAAAATGAAAATTGTATGAAAATTTTGAAAAAAAAAGATGGTTACACAATATTTCAATCATGTCCTATTTTACGATTTTTTTCCTGATTGCATTCTATTTACAAATTACAAATTTGTAATTTACGTGATAGAGTGCAGAAATTGTAACATACTTAAAAAAAAATAAAAAAAACAAAAATGATTCAAGAAAAAAAATTCTCAGTTTAAAGGATTCTGTTTTATAAAAGTTAATTTCAGTTATGTTTAATCATTGCAAGGCAGACCTTATCTTGCTGAAAATGTTTGCAGGAAACAGTTTCTCTACATCTATTATAACAGTGAAAACACGATTTCAGTTATGTTTATATTTGTGTTGTTCTAATTTGCCGATTACAATTTGTATGATACTTTTCAAGTTTATAGCTTAAAACACAAAATGGGTTAACATTATATTTAAATCAAAACAGTACTCAAACCAAACAAATCTTCGACTTTCAATGTTGTGTAAAATAGACCCTCTTTGTCATTGCAAAACAAATTGTTCTTGGTACAAACATGATATTGAGATTCATTGACATACAAATTTTTACATATATTGGTTGGTTTTCTAAGAATATATAACACTGGAAGTGAATCATACACTTCTCTCTCAAAATTCATACACATAGTAGAAAAGGTTGTCCAGTCTGCTATCGAGGATGTGAAATTTCTGATATGATTTGACCAATGAGTTTATTTATTTGCAGCAAAAAGATATAATAAGATGGCTTATACTTGGATTACCCGACAGGGATAAACATCCATTCATAAAGTGTTTGACTTTATTTTGAACAAAGCTTAAATAGAAAAAAAAAGTTGTGATTTTACAAAGAAATAAAAGAAAACAATATGTTTGCTGGAACACCCTTTTGAACTATCAATGGATATAACTCCTATATGAATTTGGATCTTTGGTAGAATTTACTAGCTAACCATTTTAGAACGTTTAACTTTTTTTGAAAATTATTCTGATCCCCAGTCTGATGCAAAAATATGTTCTGTTCAAGCAGATGACAAAAAAAAATATATTTTTAATCCAGTTTTCCCATACCTTATAGTGTTAAATTTTGAAGAAAAAAAAATTGATTGACAGCGTTAAAAAACTAAATAAAATTGTTCGCGAAATATTTTTTCTGATTCAGACAAAAAACCACCCCCCCCCCCTTTTTTTGAAGTTAAATGGTTGCTCCCTTAACAAATTGTGGAAAATATACAAAGTAAGTTCACTGTCATAACAAATATCATTTTTTGTATGAGGCTCAGAATCTGGGGAAGAGGGGAAGGGCAATGTTTACCGAGCCCTTCAACTGTTTTGTGCCAAATATAAAAAAAGTAAATATTTTTCTGACATTGAACTAATACTGTTTTTATATTGAAGCCGAAAAAGGATACAATGATAGGTAAGAAATTTTACCACAAAAAATAAAAACGAAGTCGGATTCCTTAATGTACCCCAAATAGTAAAGAAAAATGACGTGACATGAAATCGACAGTGCACAAAATATCATTTTGTTACTATATTTGGTAGAAAAACACAACAGGAAGTATTCTAACTGCAGTATAGAAATCATTATCTAATAGTAACAACAAATAGTCTTGTGATTTTAAACCCTATGGCTTATTGAAGATTATACCTTAGAGATAATTTTAGGTTTCTCTCTTTATCTTTATTGGTTTTCAAGACAATAGATCAATTGATAAAATTCGCCCTGTCAGGAGTCGATTGAAGACGGCAGGCATTTGAGTTAGCAATATATTTTGTCATGCTACTCGATTGTTGCTATAAAAATTCTATCTACAAACTACTGCATTGAATTTAATAGTATTTATTTTGTAGGCATCCAACGCAAGAGCACGTGGTGATGTTAATGCAACAAAAAGATATAATAAGATGGCTTATACTTGTTTTAGATTGTCAATTGGTGTTGGAAGTATTTTTCTCATTGTTTCACTATACATACATTTTTTTAGAATGATATAATATAACATACAGTATATATCTGACAACTTACCAAGAACAAAACACGAGTTTATCAGTTATTTAGTTAAAAATTGTAATAAAGGTGCAGAGTATACGGTAGTTGCATTATAATACAAAGTACACAAGCATGAGACCAAAGTGTTTACATTGATTGAAAGTTGTAAATGGTCATTAAAAAAAATCAAAAAGGAAAAACAAATTTTAATTTAAATTTAGAAATAAGCCCTTAGGGATAACTCTCTGCAGCATAAGCTAGATCCATTTTGAATAGGAGGTGTCATAAACGTTTATATATGAGAACGAAACTATACAAAATCATGTTATTTTCTATTTGTTGTTTTTCGTATTACTCATTTCGAAAAAAACCAAAGAAAACTGTGAAGCAACATGGATCATCTAAAGCGATATCAAATAGATTGAAAAACTAATCAAATACTATTGAAAAGTGTTTCTTTCGATTTGAAAAGCTGTCAAACATACCAAACTCCAAGAAACGTTTAAAACGGAAAGTCATAACAATCAATAAGCGTTCTTTTAATACATGGTAACATAACAACACAAAAAACGCACTACGTTTTTCAATATGTACAGTAGTTTCACAATTTCGTGATCGCTTAAAATAAGCATGTCTCCAGTATATTTTAAACACAGCCTAGAAATTATTTCCCAATTTACAGGGAAATTTTCGTTTTGTGGTGACAAACAGATTTCATTCAAGAGATTCAAAAGTAAAAAGTCTAAAATCAGCAAATTCAAATTGGTCATTCGAAAAAAAAAATTGATTCAAAAACTAAAACTAAACATAAAAGTAAGAAGATGTGATATGATTGCCAAGAGACAATTCTCCATCCAAGACCAAAAGTCGTCGATCTAAGGGGTTATAGGTCAACGTACAGCATTCAACATGGAGTCTTTGCTCCAACCACAAAGTAAGCTATGATATACCCTAAAATGACCAGTGTAAAAAAATCATACGAGATAAACCAACGACTAGATTTATATACAAAATTTATTTTTGTTGTATTCGGTTGAAAAGATACTCACAAAATTTGGCATTTTATTTTCATTTTTAGGAATAAAAAAAAAAAACATTTTTCGATTTCAAAAATTCCGACTTTTACAGAATTTCATGTTATGGTTCTGGAAACTTTTTGTCAAAAAATCTTATTACTTGGCGCGTTTTATGTTCTTGAATATAAAATACCTTACGACACGTGTCGTTCAGAACCTAATAGGAAACCTGACAATCTATACTAGAAAAATGAAAATTGCCAATAGTTTTTGGTTTGAATCATGTTATCATGGACATATAGGTTTATGATGTTAGAGTTATTTTATCGTAATAAATTTAAACAATCAAGAATTTTCCAATGCATCAATTACAAGTAAATGCTTAAAGGCAAGCAATTATATACAATCCGCAAAAATTAAGCAACACTTTGGTTTTCTAGTAATCACCATGTAAAACGCCACATGTGTGATGTCGGCTATGTTTGAAACGGGGTGGCGGTTTTGAAGAGCGGAAAAACGATCAAAGTAAGTTCAAGTATCAAAATGTTGATGACAAAAAAGTAATAGGACCAATAGATTGTAACTTAGAAGCTGGTATTAGGTTAAATTTCAGGATGAAAATTTATTTTTATATAAATCATAAGGGAAAAAATTCCTCAAAAGTAGTTTTTTTTATCCTGAAACTGCATATGAAGCATCACAATCTGCAACACCGTCACGGAAAACTAGGGAGAGGTGTTTGAGAAAACAGAGCACGGAAAACGTCTGCTTCTGCTTGCTGAAAATAGATTATGGTTCGATACCTTCTGTACAATACATTATTTGGTACATTGTACTGTGACAGGGGAAAAAGCAGCTTCGTTTATCATTTTGGACTTTAATATAAAATTCTCAATTTTGATATTTTGGACTTTATTTCTCTGTGTTTCACAATTCTTTTTAATTTATGTTTTCGTTTCTATTTACATTTCATATCCAGGACTTAAATCAACATGCTTTGATGTGCAATTCAATTCTCAGTTTGGACATTGAGTGACATGTTTTACTATGTTAACTAATAAGTGACAGTTTACCTTTTTCATAATTATATGTTTTTAAATATCATAATCAGATTAGTAAATTAACTTTATTCTTCATGTTCTAAAAATAGTTTAATCTTTGTCAGTGAACAATATTACTCAAATTAATTGTTATTTGTTATGTTTATTCTTGTCATTTCAATTGTGTATAAGTACTTGTTTATAATTTTGATAAGCAAGATTTGGACTCAGGACTTTACATTGAACACAGTCCATCTGTAATAAAAGTATTCCATGCTGAATTATTGATTTATTCATCGCTAGTTCCAGAGTCTCAAGAGTTAGTTTTCATCAGAGTTTCAGTCTCAGAAGTGTCATTGCTATTCAGAGCAATCGTTCGTTGTGTGATCAGGTGCATCACAGTTTCAGTAACAAGAGACCATTCAGTCAGGCTCTTGCTTCACAACCCTACAAGTCACCCAGTTTCCCCGGTGACAGATTGGTGGACGACGACGGCGTGCTCACTTTTTAGCCAAGCACACGATCCAGAGACCTCAAGCAGCCAATCGAATTCCCCAGACAAGTAGCGTAGACAATATTCAGCGATGGAGTACAGCTTTCGACCACAATGGAGAACATGGAATGTCCAGTCAGGTTACAGTCCAGCATGTGGAAGATGCGGTAAATTTCACAAATTCTATTTATGCAATTCAATCGATCAGAGATGCTATTTGTGTGGAAAGTTCGGACATTATTCTAGTAAGTGTTTTTCAAAAGCAGCAAAGAACAGACAAAGTACACCAGTTCATGTAAAATCTCGAAAGCAAAAGGAGCGTGATACAGCTTGAATGACCAGCTACATTGAACGCAAAAATATCATCCGAGCCTTACCGTTTTCTGGTATGAGAAATTCAGCTTTCGTTCAATATTTGGATATTACAAATGTGTTAAAAACAGAACTGATAAGTGTAAAGCAGAAAATTTCACAGGAAAGGAATAAAAATCTAGAACAACAAAAGTGCATCGAGGACCTTAAAATTCAATCAAAAAATCAACGTAGTATCGAGTCAGAGAGAGACCAGTTGAAACAAGAACTTGAAATCATTTGTCAACAAAAAGAACAAAGTGCCTCGCCTATAGACGTACAAGAATATGTACATCAAATTCAGGAATTGGAAGACCAGGTTATTGAAAAAGACAAGACTGTGAAAATTGTCCAGGATCTTTATTATTTACGTTCCACCAAATTTACGGATGAGATACAAACATTGAAAAAAGAAAAAAACAGACCTATATGTTCCAAGGTACAAATTCAAGCTGATTCGATTTCTCAGCTGACATATAAACTTCAGGACCTTAACCACGAATACCAACTTGTATTTTCCTGCCAAAACCAACAGCGACCCAATCATAACAACAGACACTATAACAACCACAGAGGGGGCCGATTTAGGTAAAGCTAAGTCCTAGGACGGACCTAATTGGGAGGAAAGGCATATGTGACAGGGGGAAAAACAGCTTCGTTTATCATTTTGGAATTATAAAATTCTCAATTTTGATATTTTGGACTTTAATTCTCTGTGTTTCACAATTCTTTTTAATTTATGTTTTTGTTTCTATTTACATTTCATATCCAGGACTTAAATCAACATGCTTTGATGTGCAATTTAATTTTCAGTTTGGACATTGAGTGACATGATTTACTATTTTAAGTGACAGTTTACCTTTTTCATAATTATATGTTTTTAAATATCATAATCAGATTAGTAAATTAACTATCTTCTTCAAGTTCTAAAAATAGTTTAATTTTTGTCAGTGAACAATATTACTCAAATTAATTGTTATTTGTTATGTTTATTCTTGTCATTTCAATTGTGTATAAATACTTGTTTATAATTTTGATAAGCAAGATTTGGACTCAGGACTTTACACTGAACACAGTCCATCTGTAATAAAAGTATTCCATGCTGAATTATTGATTTATTCATCGCTAGTTCCAGAGTCTCAAGAGTTAGTTTTCACCAGAGTTTCAGTCTCAGAAGTGTCATTGCTATTCAGAGCAATCGTTCGTTGTGTGATCAGGTGCATCACACGGTTTCAGTAACAAGAGGCCATTCAGGCAGGCTCTTGCTTCACAACCCTATAAGTCACCCAGTTCCCCCGGTGACAGTACTATCAATTCTCCAAAAAGAAATTTTGATACTTGAACTTACCTTCATCGTTTTTCTCAGCGTCAAAACCGTCATCCCGTGTCAAACATAGCCGACTAACCACATGTAATAGAAACTTAAAAAGTAAGTATTCAACAGCATCTTTTTGTAAATCAATTGATGGTTGGTGAAAATCTGAATCGCAAACAGTATTAATAACAGCTGGAAAATGACGAGGAAAATATCAGTAAAAAGTGTATATATGAGGACTATCAAAATTGTCGGCTGATCAATAACAATGGCAGTGAGTAGATTCTTACCTTCTGGTCATTCCTTTCTTTTTCATTTAAGCTTCTAGTAGAAAACAAATCAAAATCAAACGAACTTTGAAAAATTGTACAATAGTTTAGTTACTCAAATTACATCATTTATTTATCCAAGAAATTACCAAATTGTTAAAGCACAGTAGTAAAAAATAAAAAAAATAGTTTCATATCATCGTCCTCTAAAAATGCTTTTTCTGCTTTACACATTTATCCACGTTGCATTTAACTATAAGCTAGCAGCTTAAAACTGACAGTGTTCCGAGACTTTTCACAAATTTGTTGAAAGTAAACCCATCGGAATTCAATATTTCCATTTGTTTCTATTTCTAAATGCCAAAGTATGTTGTTAGATTTCATCCTTTTCTTTCATAATCGATTCGAAAATATAATTTTAATAATTCTTTACTTTACTTTACACGAGTTCATACCATTTGAATGAATTTCATCTGTCATGATTTCTTCATCTTTGTGTAAAGCTTTACTTTTTTCGAGTGTACTTATTTTCGCGGTTTTGGTATTGTCGATGGATTCGCGCGTTCTTAATTTCGCAGTATATCCGAGAGAAAAAAATTGTACACTGAATGAA